AAAAAAAAAAGGGGGGGGGGGGGGAAATCCATTTTAAAAACCATTTACACACATAAGGACCAAAAATGTTTGCCACTTTCTTGCAGACAGGGGGGTGGAGAGAATGCAAATAAATTATGTATGACTCAAGAAACCAAAAACATTTCCAGATCAATGTCTTTGTGAAATAACTAATAAGTCTAGGACAAAGTTATTCAGACGTCTCCTTTCTAGTATCCACAGAATCACTGTATAGCTGTTAGAATCCATTTAAATCAAATTACATCCATAAATCTAATTATCTGCTATTGTTTGTAGAAGCATGACTTTAGGGATTTAACAGATGGTAAAGGAAAGTATGAGGTATAGCTTTGAAGTAGGTGGTTTTGTTTCAGCACTCTGGTTGTGAGGTGCTCAAAAGTGCAGGAAATATGAATGTGAAGAAGCAAGGCCTAGTGTTTTCACAATAAGTTTTTTTTTTAAAAAAAGTCAGTTTTAAATATTTCAGTTGCTTTCCTTTGAATGCATTGAAAAATAACTGGTAAATTCAATTGTTCCAATAGAATACAAAGGAAGTTCAGAAGATCTTTCAACTGGGTGAAATTGTGTGATATTAGTTGTTTTTCAGATTTCATTTTGATAGGCTCCTCCATAATATGTCTGTGTACCAAATACTCCTTTGGTAATTGATGTTGTTTATTTATGGGTGAGTGTTGATATTACACATGAAAGGAGTAAATTGGATGAGTAGAATTGGATAAGCAGAATTTAAAATGATAAAATTATAATGTAAACCACAAGGAATATTGTGAAACTTTACAGGGTAAAAAATTTATCTCAGACTTTTCCTGAGCCAGGGCCCCTTTCAAAATAGCTTTTTTCAGATGCAATCCTACAGCTGTGAGTACAGTATCTCGGAGAGTTAGGTAAATTTCCTCCCTCTGAAATCCCTCAGAGGAAAAATAATTCTCCCTCCTTTTTTCCTGCCAGTTTCTGGGTCTGGCTCTTTCTCACGTGATCATTTTCTTCCACCGATGAAAAGCAAAACTTAACTTAAAAAACCCCAAACGACCAAAATCCTGTTTGCAAAAAGAAGACCAAGATCTAAAAGTGTGTGAATGTGAAGTTATAAGTATATACACAAACACACTTTTATTGTGACACTTTTAAATCTCAAAAGAAAATGAAATGAAATCTGCATTTCATGATCTTCTGTCAAAATGAATTGGAGATTTCTTTGGACGCAATTTTTTGCACTCTCTATGTGCCCCCCAAAAAGTAAAAAAAAGTATTTGCCTGCAGTCCTGTCCTCTTTGAAGAATTTCACAAACAAGAATCACTTGTTTGTGACATGGGTGGCCATATAAATTTGATGAATAAATAAATAAATAAGAGTTCTACCTCTAGGTTTAATGCTAAACTTTTTTCCCCTCATCTTTTGTGTTTTATTTGTTTTGGAAAATAGAGTTTTCATGATTTTTTTTTCTTTTTTAATTGCACCACTTGGCTATTTTCAAATTCCTTTATTACATTACAACCTCTGAACTTGTTCCTTCCCCAAAGACAGCTCCTTCGCTCTTTAAATTTCAGTACCTGTTTTTTTTTTTTTTTTGGAGGGGGGAGAAAGTTCTGTGGTTCTGCTTTTAAAACAAAACACACACACACACACACACACACACACACACATTTGCATTGCTTTCCTTTTTGTTCTGCTCTCATCAGCAACATTAACTAGTTTTGAATAGATTAGGGGAGGACTGGCAGGCAGAACATGGATCAGTTCCAATTTCTTGAACAGATTTATCTAGCCTCTTGTGGCCTCCTGAATTTGAATCAAAGCATAGAAAAGGAAAAAAAGTGCTCAGAGTTGGTCGTTTTTAATGTATTGGTCCATTGGAAAGTCAAAGGCCATGGGCAGGGACCTTAAACCAGTGGAAAATGGTTCCAACACTCTTAACCACAAGAATCATGGAACAATAAAGGCATAGCTGCTATGTGAGGTATGTAGCAGACACTACTATATAAATTATAATTCCCAATCTGAGGGTTATTTCCCAAATGGAATTATAATATTTATGCTTAAGAGGGAGGCATCAGGAGGCTCACAGAAACCTCAAATTTTAAAGAAGTTTGAACAATCTGTAGCAGATAAAAGAACCTGGAGGAGAGAGAAAGACACTTCTAGCACTCAGCACAATCAGCCGGACCAGAATGCTGCAGAAAGGGGATTGGAAAATGGGGAAGGTGATGGGACATTCTGGACAAGAGCGTAGCTGGTGGAAAAGGAGCATCTGCCCTGTGGCATTTTGTTGCAGAGCCCGTTTATACCATTACGCGATTCAACGTTAATTCATTCGCCCCATAAATGGCTTTATGGCGGTAGTCGCAACCCATCTCAAGAAGGCTTTGATGATCACTGATCGATTCCATGTGCTGTGAACTCATTCTTTTTTGTTGTTGTTTCTAAATGCTCATGTTGTTGCTAACAAAGATAAAATAAGGCACTGCTTTTTAAAAGGAAAAAAAAAACCCTTGGTAATGCTTCTAGAACAGTTTTATCTTTGTGACATTAATGATAATCTCTTGTGTAATTAACTGTGGAGTGGTTATGCATGCATTATGCAGTCCATGACAAGCCTCATAGAAAATACATCAGTATTAGCCACAGGTGAATTCGTTTAGAAAGATTAATGACTGCACCTGAATTTTAATGCCTGAAAAGGGACGGAACACTGAATCCTTAATTAAAAAGTTGAATGAGTGGTATGGTTTGTTTAACATCACAAATTTCAACTGGAGATTTCTATATTCAAATGAAGTCTGCAAAGGGAAACTTTCCTTCGAGCAGGGAAGAGTAAAGGTGAAAAGCAATCATGTTTTATGTGCTTTCCGTTATGTAAATCGATACATGGATCAGTTGCTTTGATAAGGATCAAATATGGTATAATTATGGCTCCTCTGTGCTTACAGTGAATGTTTGGGGGTAAAAAAAAAAAACGTTGGGAACACGTTGCAACACAACCCTGCCACCAGCAGAACATCAGATGAGAAAGCCATCTTATTCTTTCCTTAATGAGAGACAGTTTTTGCTTCATTACAATTTTGCAGAGTTTTAATCAGGAGAAAGTAACCTTGAAAATTACCACTGGAGTCCCAATCCCAGAAGAAGGTGAACTGGCTTCTTTCAATCCTCTCTTTCAATTAGCAAGTTACTTTCAAGTTATTAGCATTAAAGTTATTCCTCTTAAGTTAATGCCAGGTTGAAAATCCAGGAGACCAAATGCGCTTACCTATACCATCATAAATTAATCTGATAGATTGCTGATACAATATTTGAATGGTTTTTTTTAATTTTAAAATTAAAAGAATTTCACAATCATCTCCACTTCAACCCCACTGAAACTTCTCCCTATCAGCTTCGCTTCAACCTTACTGACAGAGCACATTATCAATCAAATCCTTTCTACAATTTGTTTATTTAGAAAAATGGATCAGTTGTTTTCTTAGGCCCATAATGTAGGCTTTCTGACCCAGAAGAGATGGATAACCTCAGCTTTTTGGCCCATCTCTTAGTAACCACTCTAAATGATAGAAGTGATCGCTGAATTTTAATAGGGTTGCTCATACCAGATAGGAGGAACAGTCCACTGTGTTTCAGCTGCAACAACAGACCACGAGATGGCTGGAAAGGGTTACAGTTCTCTGTGTCTCTTTGCTTCCTTCTCACGGGCGACAAGATTTTTGTACCTAAGACGTGGTAGCCCTAAGGCGGTGTTTCTCAAGCTTGGTAACTTTAAGAGGTGTGGACTTCAACTCCCAGAATTCTCCAGGTAGCATGCTGGGAATTCTGAAAGAGGAAGTCCACACCCCTTAAAGTTGCCACGGTTGAGAAACACTGCCATAAGGTACATTCTTGCTCATACTGCTTGCTGTAAGTTTATTTTCTATAATTAAAATAAGATGCAACAGGATTTGCAAAGATTATATCTAGAAGCCCATTGCTTTTCTCTACATAGTTGATTAGGAGGCTGGGAATGGTTTTTAAAAGAATCCAGGCTTACAATCCCGTCTGTTCAATTTCTAATGGGGGTGCAGCAAGGTGGTTGTGGCACTTTGAAGATGAATTGACTAATTTATTATTATGTACGATTTCATGCATCGTAGTCCTCTTTAGCAGAGGTATGAATGAACTTTGCAATAGGGCTGTGCAAAGCATAAAAAAGCCAAAGTCAGGCCGCAGTTCTCAAGCACAGATAACTTTTTCTTGAACATTGGGGAGCTGACTTCCTGATAACCATGTCCAAAATACATCCTGGGGAAGGACAACGTGGGGGAAAAGCATATGGGCTATATTGTGCCTCAGTTTCAATTTGCAAATTGTCTGTGAGTTGTGGTGTGACAATTTATGTATGTTCAGTCTAGTTGGACAATTTTCCTAGGCCATGTTTGTTGTTCAAAATTACTTGATTTTCTGTGCCAATCTGTTTTGCATCTAGCTCTCCTAATTTTTAAGATGGTGCAGTTGGGGAGTGTTGTCTGCTTCTCAGAAGTTAGGTGTTTGAATTTAAAGCAGTTTAGTGCTCTCACAGATACAGGTATTAGATTGGCTATTTCCAAATACCTGGAGATTCCTTTACCAAACAAATAGATTTGGTGGATGACCTAATCTGTATGGTGGATGACAGCCTTTCATTTATTCTTTTTCATCCCACTGGATTAAAAAAAATAGAGAAAAATGGAGCCAGAACTGGTGAGGTCACACCCTTGCTTTTTTACCTGGCCATCAAAAGAAGGAAAATACTTATTGTTATTAAGGACTTTCCAACCATTGATTTCACACTGACATCAAAGTAGTCCTCTCCATCTCTTTTTTCAGTACCCAAAAGCCTCAATTTGTTCTGTTCAGACTTTACAGAAATTTTCTTCTCTTTTTGCAACATGCAAGTAAGCCATATCTGTTTTTGATTACAGGTAGTCTTCATTTAGTGACTGCCTTATTTATTTATTTATTTATTTATTTATATTCATTTATTCATTTATTCATTTATTCATTTATCGAATTTGTCACTGCCCATCCATTGAAATGACTCTGGATGGTTTACAGCAGAGATAAAATCAATTAAAATACAGTATAAAAACAATCTTAATAATAAATACCAAGAAAGATGGAGAATTGGTGAATAACTCAGGGAGCGTTGTCAGGGTGCTAACCGGCCCCAGGGACAGTTAGAGCTCATATCGCCCCATGCAAGCTGGCAGAGCCAGGTCTTTAATCCTTTCCAGAAAGCCGGGAAGGTAGGGGCCCGCCTCACCTCTGGAGGGAGAATATTTCAAAGGGCGGAGAAGACTCTCCTCCTGGGCCCCGTCAGCTGACATTCTCTGACAGGGTCCACAACATGCCCCCTCTGCCTGACCGGGTGGAACAGGTTGATGTAATGGGGATGAGACAGTCCCTCAGATAACCTGGACCCATGCCATGTAGGACTTTAAAGGTGATAACCAACACTTTGAATTGGACCCAGAAGCAAACTGGCACCCAATGCAGCTCCCACAGCAAAGGTGTTACATGTGCCATCCTTGAGGCACCTAATATCATCCGCGTGACTGCATTTTGAACCAGCTGTAGCTTCCAGATACTTTTCAAGGATAGCCCCATGTAGAGTGCATTGCAATAGCCTAACCGAGAGATTTAGTGATTGTTTGCAGTTACGACAGTGATAAAAAAGTAATTTTACGACCAATCCTCGCATTTACAACCTTCACAGGTCTGTAAAGCAAAGACAATCTGAAGTAAGATCATAAGCACAGTCACAGTTTCACTTACTGACCACTTCGCTTAAAGAATGAGTTGCTGGTCCCAGTTGTGGTCGCTAAACAAGGACTACCTGTAATTATAATAATGTTCCTGTGATATTATTCTTTCTTAGTAATATCGATATACAGGCTTAAACTTTTTATTTCATGGGAGAAGGTTAATTTTTGCTTTATTTTTACAACAGGGTTTCAATTGTTTTGGGGTGTTGATATTAGGAGTCAATTATATTTTAACTTTTAACAAAACACCTGAAACATTGTTATTCTTTTTTCCCCTACTAAATTTCTCCACTTTCATTTGATGCTACTTATAGAAAGAATGGAAAGGAAAGGTTAATGGTTTGCATGCTGTTTGCATAAGTCCAGGGATCAGAAATTTCTTACAGGTTGGAATCCTTAAATAGAAGTCACCATTAACTTTTGAAAACTACACTATAAATCCCGCAATACCTAAGATTCCATCTGTAGCCTTTATCCAGAAGCCGGGTGGATAGAATGTGTTAGCGGATCCATTTTGAACCATTTTCCTTACTGAAAAAGGATTTAATATATTTTGCAAGAAACTGAACTCAGGCATGTGTTTTGGCCTTAGTGAGTGCAGTACAAACATTTTCTAAGCACAATTCACAGCTCCAGTTATAGGTTGTTTATTGTAGGATGCATTTATAACAATCATATTTCCAGAGGTAATTGCTGAAATAATATAAACACTTGAGGAAAAGTTCCTGACAGAAAGCTATTTGAAAACCATGTAGCCCACAGGGCAGCTAGGACTAAACTGATTCTCTTTTCATTATAGTTTATCCATCCATTAAAAGCTAAGCATTCTTGTCTGCCTTTCTGACTCTGACCCATGGATCTTGGAGGTTTTCTGTTGAAGCAATGAAGAAAGCAATACCTGAGCTTGCTTTTTAGTTTGATGGCGATTTTGCTGCGCTTCCATTATGAGGAATGGCTCATTATGGGAGGAAATCTATATTTGCTGCAGGCAGCACTCTCAGCAGAGACACTTCCATGTTTCACTCACTTCTGGTGGGCTGTTTACACCCAGCCAAGAGGCTTCCTCTTTTATGAACTATTATCTTTAGAGGAACAACCAGTGCAAAAGGTTAAAGGCTTAGTTAAGATAACATATAGAGAAACCTGAGGTAATAGTGAGAACACATATCTAAAAAACAGCAGGATATAAAATGAATATTTCTCTTCCTCAAGAAGTAGTCAGTTCTCAAAAAGCCTCTGCTATACAGATAATTATATTAACATTCCTATGATGGATTATAAAATTCTGAATAATTTATTTGTTCATTTATCAATTGGCTTTCTTACTTTCCTTATTACATTTATATACACTGTTCCTCTAAATCAATGTTTCTCAGCCTTGGCAACTTTAAGATGTGTGAACTTCAACTCCCAGAATTCTGAGAGTTAAAGTCTACACATCTTAAAGTTGTTAAGGTTGAGAAATACTTCTCTAGATACTCAAGGTGGCTCACACAGGATCCACAGCTGAGGAAGAAGTTGAATCTACATCTCCAAGTCCAACCCAGTATCCATGCAATGCACCTCTGCCATTCTGACTAACCCAAGAATACTAAAAGACTCTATGGAAATATGCATGTAAGGATCTTCTACCTGAATATGATCAACATACATTGATCAGCAGAAGCTGCCTTTAAATGCTCACCTGAATAGATCATGATAAAGAACTGGGCTATGCTTTCCATTTTGAAATATTTCCCTAAATAGATGTGGGTAGAAAACTGGTCTGTTCCTTCCTTTGGATTCCCATGGGTTCAGCCATGAGGTTTGAAGAGGAGTTATACTTAAATTTGCTTAAATACAACTACAAGCCTTCATGTGAACCCTAATAAAGCAGAATTGCAGATCACATGCAGAGCTTTATTCATGCTCCAATTGAATATGGGTGTGTGGCAGGTAATCAGTGTAGACATCTGACAGTCATGGATTAGGGCCAATTCATGTACTCCATCATCTACCTACCTTCAAATGCTTACACTTTCAGCAAATGTCTGCAGATACCTTTGGTCTCACCCTTCATAGAAATGCTTAACATGTAAGCGGGTGAGCAACTGGTACATTAACAGAGTTGTATACAGCAAGTCCAACTCTTTCCCCCATCACATGAACATGAATCCATATAAGAATGTGAGATTTTCCTCCTGTCGGTGTCATACTACCACCACCATCATCGTCACTAGAGTCTTTCTACTTGCAATGAACCTCAGTGTCCTGTTTACATATTTCAAGGATCTTGTGATCAAGAAGAAAAATTGTACCATTTATACAGAAAGACAATTGACTCAATAATGACAAATCTCACCTGATACTTCCTTTTAAATGGTGGAGCCTCAAGCACATCCCCGATAGTGATGGGCATGCGAAGAAACAGTTGTGACTGTTCTCAGAGATATTGTAAGAAAATATAATTTTGACTCTGGATGCAAGATAGGGAAGGTTCACCAGTTCCTCTGCCAGAATATAGGGCTCACAGCAACTGTATCCTTAGGCTAGCTGAGTGTGGAAAAGTAACATTTAACATTAGAGTAGAACATCAGCTTTATCACTTAGCCATAGAAAGGTGCTATGGTATTTTCCATGTAGGTCACCATTCAGATATTGCTTATGAAAGAAAAAAAAAGTCAGGTTAATCAGTGTTTCAGTTCCTATGAACAAAATTAACTGTTAGCTGGGGAAACGTTTGTCTGTGGTTAGTGAACAAGTTGAACACGTACAACAAATATTACCAGCTGAAATTTAAAAGCTCTTATTCCTCATCTTGTCAATATTTGTTATTACTATTCAGCCTCCATTTTCTCTTATGCCTGAAGTTATTCACTCCAATTGCAGCCATCAAGTGAGGTAACTTATGCTTAAAAAGATGATGCATGTTTAACGGAGTAGAATTTAACTTAACTTCCTTTTTGTCATCAGTTGTAGCCAACAGTCCTACCATACATCTCCCCACACACAAAGATCTTGACCCGGGCATTAATCCAGCATTCTATCCTTAACTCTACAAAAACATATAATATTGTTTCATACAGCTCGGTTATTGGAGGAGTGACAATGGGAAACAAAAGGAAAGGAATGGAAAAATAGAATAATCAACGGTTTTGTTTGTGAGATACAATTATTCCTCCATAAAATATTCCAGGAGCCAGAAACCTTGAGGTCAGAATAGCCTTTGGCCAACTGTATCATCAGTTCTTCCTCATTAGATTCTTGTTGGTAACATGGACATTTTCCTTGCTACAGAAATAATAGAATATTCTTTTTCATCTCCAGTGTAAAGGAAAATAAACAAACACTGCCTTCAACATCTGGTATACGTGAAACATTTCAAGTCATTTTATTTCCATTTCCTTTGTATTCTCTCTCTTTCAGATAGAATCTTTCATCCTTTTTTCTCATTTGGTTTTCCAAGAGTTCAGCCCACTGAAAGGAGACTTTGAATAATCTACATGGAAGCACTAGCAAGGTTGGCTCAACTTGTCATTTGAATTATGTAAAACCATGAGATGCAAGGGACAGGGATGATTAAATTAGGGCCTTTCAAATGGACTGACTGGTGGAGAATGTGTTTGCCGCTGCCCCCAACAGTGTATTTTCAATATTCCCTCAATCTTTCAGAGTTAAAAGCACAGTCCAGTCAGCTTAAATTATACCTCATTATATCAGTATTCTGCCTCTACATATTTTAATTAAATCAAGGTAACAGTATGTGGCTGAAATCAGATTACTTCAAGACCAATACATGTGCAAAGCTTTATGCAGATTTTAGAGCTATGCACATTTAACATTACGTTATAAACTCTTTCAGTATCACTCTGATCCAAGACTGTGTGCATATCCAGGAATCATAGCAGCATATGGTGGAATTTACTGAAAAATAAAGTATTCCTAGAAATGCAGAGATTGAATTAAGTACTGCTAAAGTGGAAATGCCTTCTTCCATAATCAGTCGCTTTTAGCAGCAACTGTTCTCGGAGGCATTTGTTTCCTTGACAGAGCCATTAAAGAAAGGATATTGTGTCCACAATAGAATCTCAGTGACAACTCTGTAAAAACTCTCAGCCGTATTTGGATTTATCATTCAATCTCACACATAGAATGTGCAACTGGAAGCCAGCACTATTTTTCGTTTTATGGGAAGTGTGGCATTATACACTATCCACCATAAGAAGCTCTCATCTTGAGAGCCTTATGTCTGCATAGGCAACGTATTGAAGCACACACAGTTGTGGGTCTGTGATTGCACATATGGATGAAATGGATGTCATTCCCATAGATTTAAGTTGGGACCACTTATAATCTTGAAGTTAATATGAATCTGTATTGATTATCGTGTGTTAAAGGTGTGTGTATTTTTCTTGGCTATAACCTAGTGTTTGGGATCGTCAGTCCATCAAGCATTATGAATTGTCTGGCATGGGGGCTGGCTAAAAGAATGATTACACAACACTGAAATCTATACCTGTTCTACAGCCATAGCTTGTCAGTTTGTGTTAAGAATTGAAACAGGTTTTCAGGTAGTCTAGACAAGTATTTATGATATTTTTGTTCCAGCTCTTTCCATATATCTAGTGAAGATGGTGCCACTGTGTGAAACACAAGCATCTACAGGCGGTGTATGTGTGTGTCAAAAATATCAAGATGGCAATTTTGACCTGCTGATAAAAGGGGAAAGGATTTCATTACATGGTCATGACCACTATTTTGCAATTTTTATCCACTCCCTCCCCACCCCTACACAGACGCTCCCAATCTGAAAACTATATTACTTACTGCATTTTGTACCATCCACATTTGGACAGAGAGCTTAACATTCTGCAGGTTTCTAAAATGTTTCCTGCTTTTTTTCAGCATCTCATATAGACCTACAAGGGTGCAAATCCAGTGAGTTTCTAAATTATTGGAACTCACTTTGCAGTAAACAGGGAAGGGGAAGAGGAAGGGAGCTCAGATATCAAGAAGGATATCATGGATATATCACTTATACAACTGGTGTGGTAAGATTTTAGGCTTCAATCCTATTGAGAATGTAGAAGAAAACAGCTGGCTGTAAAGCCAGATACATTATGAGCTAGCCAACGGGGAAAAATGCCAAGTTCTATCTGTTACTGAAAGAGGTTGATACATGTTATTCTCTCCCACTTGCTTTTATTCACTCTCTCACACATACTTCTGTTATCCTCTGGGAAACTTCATTTTTAAATTTGTTGCTCAGAGCCTAAACGTACTGATTAGGGATATCCGAACAGAAAGTGAGGTTTAATGTCAAGGTGCTCCTCCACGGCAAGGGACTTGTGATATTTGCAAACTCTGCACTCTCCGGAACAGTTTTGCTATCCATTTCAGTTGCTCAGCAGGTCTCCTGTTTGCTTTCATTACTTTGCAATCATGCATTTTAACCTAATGCTGCTGTGAGACAGAATGGCCAAAAACATTCTTGGGAAGCGATCTTGGAGGTGCTGAACTAGCTATTTCTTCCTTGCAGGAACAATGAACCAGCTAGTGATTAGAACATAAAGCCTAACTTTCCCCTTTGCATTGCTGTGCGCTGATCCCTTTTTTATCCCATTTGCTGTTTGTTTGTGGTTTGATTTGCGTCCTGTTAGTGAGCTAATCTGTTAGACATTTATATATGTACGCATATACAGAAAGAGTTGTGGTTAGGAACTACTTGTTGTTAGTATTCCACTATTAGCTAAACTTTATTAAAAGCTTAATTTTTTCTCATTAAATTTAGCCATTTGATTTTCATTTTATACAATATGCAGGAGCATAAAGTAGGATGTATTTGGAAGCAGAGAGACATGTGGCACTCTTACAAAATGGATGCCATGATGGGCAGGCTATTTATGAAACATCCATTGACCAGAAGGCAAACTGGGGAAGCTAAAGGAAAACTTTCTTGCCAAAGAGCTAATCAGTGGTGGGACTGCAAGCTTATGGGCAAACTTAAAAAAAAATGTACTAGGCTATAACTGCTTATCCTAAGTTGTCTATTGTGGATTAGAAGCCTTGTAGATCCTGAACAATATGTCTGGGGCATTTTGGTGCCTTTCAGCATCATGTTGGGGATGTGTGGTTAGGATGGTGACCAAAGAACTGCTTGAATGATTAGCTTCCCACATTCCCAAATATGCTCATAATTAAATTGGTGGAATGGGAAGCCTCCATAGAAATTGTTTGCTCCTGATTTTTGGCAATATGTCTCTCCCCTTCACTTCTAATCACATGTGTTCCATTTAGTGTAGTCTCTTGGTCTTCCAGGGACTATTTTCAGAGGGTGGATGTAATTTCCAAATGGAGGGGGTGAGGAAAAATCGCCTCTTACCTAACTACTTCCTGCAACATTTCTCTTGATCCAGTTCATTATGTGGTTCGTTCTAGAAAATACTGGCAACAAAAGTGCCCTATTGCCAAAGGAGGCTTCCTGTAAACGTACCAATACTAATAGAAGTACTCTTCATGGATATTATGTATAAGTGACACCCACATTTGCATACTCAAAAACATGCATGGCTAGAATGCGAGGTCCAAAAACATGTTCCTTTGAAACTATTGTATGTATGTATCTGCTGAGTTCTACCCACATGTTGGCAGAGCACAGAGCTAGATAGCTAGAAAAGCAGAACTTAAGCTTCTCTTGCTACATGTAAATGCTGCTTAGAAGGATTCCCACCCCTCCTAGCCTGCCTGCAATTAATTAAAGCAAGATGGAATATAAAGCAGCACATGCTTTATTTACAGAACAATGATTTTGACCCTTAGTTCCCAGCTTTTGTGCTCAAAAAGTTCCAAAGCTCAGGTTCCATTAAGTGAATCACATGCAGCAAATTTGGAGAAGAACCTGCTGCTCCTACTCATGTGATTTATTCAAACTTAGGGCTTGGAGAGTGACCCAATGTTTGTTTTTCTACTGTTAACTCTATGTGGAATCCCAGTTGACTTGCCACATTTCAGACTCTGATGTGTTCTGTAATGTGTGCACATCATCTGGTGTTCCATCCACCCTTAGAGAGTTAGCTGAACTAAGATGAGAAACCTCCATACACCTTCACATGGTACTGGAACAGGATGTTGTGGTTTTGCTTTTTTTTTTTTTAAAAAAAAATCTCTTTTTAATTTATCTTGAAATGCCTTGTTAAAGTGCTACTGGGTAAATATTGTAATTTTTTTTTTTTTAAAATGTCAGTGCCAATGTTTTCTGCCATAAATTAAAGGACTGGTTTTTTAAAAAAAATAAATCTGTTTAAATGCTGACTGGAAAAATCCTAATCAAGTCAATATGGCTCAGACACACAAAACTGCCATACACATCAATACGGTGCTCATTGAAAGAAGACAAAGAAAGTTGCATTAGCGTGATCTGCAGGTATAGATAGCATCCTACTTTTTCAGTCTAAAAAGAAAGTATTTGGGGAACTCCCCAAAGATCATGTGGCAAAGAAAACCAATATTTTAATGTAGTTGCTCTATTAAAAATTAGTCAAGAGTGGCCAGTCAGAGTAGACAAATAATATGAAAACACCCAGATTTAACAAGCCTAATTCATAGACTATTGATCTAAGGTAAGTCAACATAAATCTGTGCCAAGGCTGTCCATTAAAGAAAAGGTGTGATACAAATCTAACAAATAAATAAATGAAAAAGACAGTTTCACTGTTTTATATGGAGTCTGTGGTAAGAGTGCTCCCTGTTACTGCATGTTGAAAGATACTGTGTGGCTATTCAAACTTTTCTTTCATGGGAAAAAGTAGGAAGCTTACAAAGCAAAATAATGGCTACCCCCACATTTTTGGGGTGAATGAAGAGTAGGGTTTCAGTTGTCAGAGGATGAAGCTACATTTTAGAAATAAGTTTTGTAGTTGTAGTTATTCTAGCATGGTAGCCTTTGCAAAGCATAGAACACGTGGCTGAACTTAATTTGCCCTTTGCTGATCAAAAAAGCTAAGTAGATTAAACCCGGTTACTATTTAGATCAGAGACCACCAGAAAATCACAGGGTTTTAGGCTAGACTTCAGTTCCTAAAAACATACTGGAACAAGGCAATGGCAAAACACTTCATACAGTTGCCAAAGAAAAGTGTGGATGGGTGTGGTCATCAAATTGGGTTTGGCTCAAAGCAAAGTTTGCCTCTTTGACCTTTATAGTTGATGTAATATATTCTCATGAGATTATGTTTTAATAGATAGCCTAAAAATATTTTTCCAGTGTGTATAACAGAGAGAGAAATTGACTTATCCATTAGCGTCTTAACAGATTTTTTCCTTAGCATACAGCAGTGAAGATGAGTATCATTCTTATATCATTTAGGAAACATGGAGACCTGTAGACATTGCACATTCAGGCAGACCTCCCTATGATAGTACTATTATTTCCTTTTTCCCCCTAGCTATTATCAAGGAAAAAAAGATAATTGAAGAAGGAGGGTACCTTTGAATCCATAAGCAACATTTGGGCTACTATACACAATTTAGTAGATTATTTAGTGAACATGCAGCTGTTTTCCAACCCCTTTCACAAGCATATCTAAAAATGCAATTCATAATAAGCTTTACAAAAGTTTTCTTGGCTTTTTAACTCTTGCAGATTTTAGCAAATGTTGACCACTAGGGCAGGAAGCAGAGCCTAGAAAATCAATGTCAATCATGTCTTCAATTTCCTCTCCTTCAGAGCTAATCGCTTTCCATAAGTCCTTATACTTCTGGTGAGATCCTGAAATTTTGAATGAAGTTTTTAGAGCCTCATACAAAGCCTATCATAATAAACAGGAACCTTTCTTAGGTCAGTGAGCTTTGTATTAAGATGCTAAAGAACTCATATGTGTCATGTGATACATATTTAGGGGATGTCTCAGAATGTAAGCTAAAATGCCTAGAATTTCTATGTCAGAAACTGCTCCTGAGACTGTTTAAATCAAGGTTAGGTAATTGTGGTAAAAAGCAAGTAGAGGAGGAGGAGGAGGAAATGTAGGCTGCTGTGCAATTTCAACCACAAGAAAAAACACTGTTTAAATTCTTGAAAAGGCTTGTTCTTGTTTTTCTCCCAAATAATAAAACCACAGGAACACAATAACTACAATAAATACAGATTCATACCATTTGGAAACATATTTATCCACAAGAGTACATCATTGCGTTCTCATGCATTGATTGTTTTAAACTTCATTATTTGTATTCAAATGAGCCAGAACAACTCTTCTGTGCAGCACTTTGCGATGACAGGAAATATATTGAACATTCCATCTCTAATGCTTCATTTGTGTTGGCTGGTTTGTAAAACATGCAAACTAGTCCATTTGCCCAGTACAGATAGGTATAAAAATGTCACAATGAAGCAATTGTTTTCTGATGTACCCAGGCCCAGACTTTTTGACCTGTCTTCCTATTGTGTCACAGCCCTCCGCCCCCCCCCCC